TCGAAGGAGGTTGGAAACCTTTCTGTAAAACTGATCTTTTACCTCGTTCGAGCTGTAGTCAGTGGAAGCGTATGCAAGGACAACGAAGAGGCAACGGCGAGTATCCTTATTGTTACGAGTCCCGACTGTTGCGCTCAGTGAGACAGCGCACAAGCGGATGTCTACCGTGATTCAGTTTAAAAGAGCCAGCTCTGCCCTAGGACTTAATGTTATACCTACACCAGCGAGGCCACAGGAAGTAGCAGTGGGGCTTTCAGATACACGAATCGAGATTGTTCTTTATCTAGACATAGTGAGGCGGAAATTTCGAACGCTTTGTTTCCTTGTGAGAAGGCAGCACCGCTGCGGATACTGGTTGTTCGAGGGAAACACCTTACCACTGTCATGCCCCTCTAAAGTCAGCAGTACGACTTCTCCTTCCAGACCTTAAGTTGCTGCTTCTATTCTTACCATTCTCTAGTTGACTTGGCTGTCATGTTCGGACCTAAAGGTACATATGTTCCAGCCAATATAGCTCAGCTGGGTCGTCACTGATTGTCTATAGTTCTATACAAATACAAATTGAGAGATCATTCAAAAGTTGTTTGAATGATTAACTAGTCAAACTTGCAAATATCACTTAGTAATCAATGAGATTTAGTTAAAATCATTGATCATTGATTAATTTAGTTGATTAGTGTTGAACAAATCTCAATATTGCCACTGGTATAGTCTCATTAACTTGGAAACTCGTGCTATATGTTGAAATGTTAAGTAGTTGGAGGTTATCAGAAGGAACCCTATGGTTTAAGCTTTCCACTAGTTGACCTTAATCAGTAAAGCATATCTAGAGGGACTTGATATTCCTTGTGCTGTTCGATCACGGTGTTAATCGGCTTTACAGCCTGAGACATTAACACTGACTAACTGACTTATAGGATTGAGAATTGAGTAATCATTGAGTAGCGATCAGTGTTATGTTTAACTTGTCTCTTAGTATTGACTAGATTATTATCGATCAAGTCCTTCATTAACTGATCACTATTCAAAAACTATGTACAGTTCATATTTTTGTGATAAAAGTTAATTCAGAATTCCAGAAAAATCAATAAAATCTGTTGATATCTAAAAATTGCCTTCTCTCATATCTTTTGTGGTTTTCAAAATATTCTGAGTAATCTATACATTTCCATTCCTCGATACGTTTCTCTATCTGGTGGTAACATTTAGTCGATACTACGTTGTATACCCGACCGAAGCTGCTACCTTGACGTGGTGGTCGGGCTTGCCTATCGCGATGACCCAACCGAGCTATACTGGATGGAACATGTGTTCCTGAAGGTTCTAACGTACCAGGCAGGTCGATTGGAGAACGATGTGACTAAAAGCAGAGACACAAGGTCTGAGGGCGAAGTCGTACTGCTGACTGTAGAGGGGTGTGACAGCAGTAGCATGTTTGTCTCGGACAACCATCATCTGCAGCGATGCTGCCTTCTCACCAGGAAGGAGGGGTTAGAAATGGTTGACCCTAAAAATGTCACACCTCCCCTACCTCACGGATTTCCGTCTCCGTCGGTAAGGGTGCACACCAAGGTTTTTCACGAGCGGAGCTAATCCTCAAAAAACCCCTCACAAAAAGGCCGTGCTTGACCGGCCTCAAGCAGTTGTCCCTTGGACTCTGCGGTCAAGCTCCCGGGTCGTTAAGACCAACGCTAATCTACCTTCGTTTTCAGGTTCCTCAAGAAACAACCTTACACGGTGTGGGCACCCGGGAGGTGACAACTGCCCTCATACTCGTACTATGTTGTATACTACTTATAAACCACTTTGTAAGTAGCATCCACCACAATTTTACCTAGTTTATGGTATCTTGCTAAGTTTATCTAATCAACATTGCCAGTTCATGCCATGAAAACATGTTGTTACACAAAAGTTTATCATCATGTAACCATCATACTAGAGCATCCTACAAATTTAATAGATTCAAACATCTTTCTTAGATTTCATTTTTCAGTCTAAAATAATCATCCCACATTATTCATTTAAGAGTTGACGATGTGTAGAAGGTGATAAGATATAACACAACAGAACAGTCGAATATTCTTCTTTTGATTCAGGTATATGAATTGGTAGTAGTAGTTGTTTTATTCTCGAAATAAAGTTGGAATAAATGTATTTTACTTAGACTATCCACCTCTTTTCGGTATCTATCAATCCAACTGCTCTTGTGAAGCAAGTTACATTGATAAGCTTTTTGAGAATCTGTAAATTTGTACTGACGAGTACTTCTGAGTGTGGTGGTTAAGCAAAGCATTATAGTTAAATTGGTTAATAGTTAGATTCTTCCCTTTCATCAACATCTCCTGGTGATCGACTG